CCCCCGTTCAGCAACCTTCCCTCCCCAACGTTGCTTGAATGAAATGGTTTCTATCTGTTTCTGCATCATATTATATATAATATTAAGGTTTAGTTCAAGGTTATTGTGTTCAGAACAGTTTCCGTGTGTTTCTTTAAAGGGACAGTTAATGTAATTTCAATTTACTCTTAATTCTTACAGTGACAAGTTCGATTCACACGGGTATCTTAAAACCTGCATCTGAGTAATAATAAGCAGAAATTCTCGTTTCTTCTATCGGTAAATTCTAAGAATTTTCTTGATCGTTCCAAAAAATTATCAAGAAGGAAACCACAAATAATTTTCAGCTAAAAAAAAACAAGAATATCTCATTCATCTTTGACCAGAAAAAGGTTTAAAGGAGACCCTTGTTATTACGTCAAGACTCTACCTCCAGTCCCTTAAAACATGCTTAAAACCCTATTTATAAAACTAGTTTTTACCAATTGTGCATTTCCACTTAAACCTTAATTAGGCTGAAATCTTGGTATTTAAATTCTGAAAAATTATTTTATTGAACGCTAAAAGTAAATTTGAAAATAATGATTCTACTCAGCTTGTAAACTGGCAATGCATTGTGTGACGCATCCAGGGGAATGCAGTCCTTCAATGGAGGGACAAATTTTGCGTAAAAAGACTGAAAAGCGCTGTCTAAAGATGTTCGTCCTATAATTTACTTAGAAAAATATAAACATTAGGACTCCGAATGTTTATAGTCCAACCTTCGATCACTTTGAAGCATTTAAAGTTAAAGCTATATATAGAGGCTTAAATAGGAGGGAACAAGGGGAAGAGGAGAATTGCAATAAATCATGTTTCAAAAGGAGGGTTAAGGAGAAGGGGGTGGATAAGTGCCCCCCCCCCCTTCTGCTTGAGTATGTGCCTATGTATGGAGAATGTATATTGTGTATACAGAGATCATTTCAAGGTTAACTTGGGTCCCATAGTTTAGTCTAGCTAGGTCTAGTTCAGGGGCACCCATAGTTTAGTCTGCTAGATCTAGTTCAGGGGCACCCATAGCTAAGTCTAGCTAGCTACTTTATTCTCTCCCTTAAATACAAACCTCTGGAGTATATTCCTTTACATTGAATTCAACTTGAAGTTTTTCCTCGTCTATAGTTACACGAGCCCTACAATATCAGCATCATCTTCATTATCAACATCAACATCAACATCAACATCAACATCAACATCAACATCAACATCAACATCAACATCAACATCAACATCAACGTCAACGTCAACGTCAACGTCAACGTCAACGTCAACGTCAACGTCAACGTCATTATCAACTATGATATCAACATAAACATAAACAGATTATCATCATCATCAACATAAGCAAAAACATGAACAAGAATAGGAACATAATCATCAACACAAACACTAGCTATCATTATGATAAACTAACCTCGGTGAAAGCTCTTTGTCCTCCATTTTAATCTGTTGTGCGGGGCTGAAGTCTCTATAAGATTCCTAAAAATCGATTTAGAATTTAAAATCTATAATTTTTAATATTGTTGAAGTGGTCCGTATATATACCATAGATTATTAACGATACAGACAGAACACTAGATGTCGTTTTTTCAAGATTTAGAGGTTTTTCGTTCACAATAAACCTGAGGCAGAAGCCCAAAGGAGTTATGCGCATGCCGCGTTGAATGAGAAGACAGAGCGAGTGCATGCGTGTAAGTCTTAAAAATTCGACATCTAGTGTTCTATCTGTATTGTTATTAATCTATGATTTATGATTTATAAAATTAATACCGTCACTTCTGAACGATAGTCTATAAGTAAAATATATGATACGCTATCACTTACTGATTAAATGTTTAGGAATTTGTCTTTATCTTGAATAAATAACTGTAATTTGATACTAGATTAGTAATATTAAAATTACTGTTCACTTGACAATTTCTAATAAATGTCATTTGTTTTGGAAATTGCTTACACAGAAGTTTGTTTGTTTGTTTGAATCCAAGTATTGACATTAAGTTGAAGAAAAAATTAAATAATACATTTTTGCACAATTTATCATCTTAAACAAAGGAATTAAGTCTTTGCCACAAATTCAAATTTTCCAATAATTATATCTTTGCAAAATAAAGCTGTAAACTTTGATATTTTAAACTTAGACTAGCTGACCTAATAGAATTGTTTGAAAAATCATAGGTCTACAACTCTAAAACATCGGGTTGAAAAGATATAGGGGTTAGAAAATCAGAGTTGGTGGTGAAAATTACTTCCTTTGGAAACCTAGGTTTTATGATTTTTTGAAAGCTTGGGGCGTTTTCTTTTCACATCTTCTTTTTTTTCATAGGGCGCTTCGTGTCCATCATCTGTTTTAATTGTGAACATTGTATACATTGTAAAACAAAAACAAATAAAAATTTGGTGGATTTTCAAAATTTTCAAAAATCGAATTTTGTTAGAGGCAAATTTTTGAAAATTTGATCATCCATAAACCTTCCCTGGGGTCAAGCGAGGCCCCAAAACAAATTTGGCTCGATCGGTTCAGCCGTTTTGACGTTTACTGGATACAAACAAAAAAACAAGATCTGTCTCAAACCTATTTTTAAAAAATTATCTATTTTATTTTATGTTTTCTTGAGATCAAAATAATTAGGTTTAACTTGGCGACATTCATAGTTTTCATATTATTGCATGTTAATTTTATATATATTACTGATTAATCTTTAGGCTTATGCTTTCATCTGTAACCAATGATCAAATTCACTTTTGACGATATAGAATCTTAATTGGTACCTAAAAGTCACACTAAAATTGAATTGTTTGCTTTGTCAGCTGTTGTCTGTCAAATCAGTGATCAAAGTAACTGTCAGCTGTTCTATGCTGACCTGTAGCTGTTGTCCACGACTGCTGATCGGAGCTCTAAACGACGGATGCTGAATTGCTGCTCCTAAGCTATAAATATCAGGTGTATTGCTGCTATGCCTGCCAGCTGAAAAACTATTCTCAAAATCCGCGAAATCCCTGGTTCGTTCCTCTATCCAGGCAGAGAGAGGATGAGACTGAGATTTAAGTTGCGACCGCGTAGAGCAAGATTCAGGCAGTCCGCTCCACTCACTAGGCCGCGTAGTACCACAGTCAGGCAGTTCGCTCCTCTCTCCTCGATATGATGTCATCCCGTCCCAGTCTAGGGGGTACCCACCTGTACATATATATATTAGATATAGGTTTAGGGGACCTCAAATTTTGAGGGCTCAAATATATGATTATAACACGCATGGGAACCCCCCTCCCCCTAGGGGGGGGAGTAACATGTTTGAAAGTATCTGCAAATTACTTTTTAGGGGACTTACTTGTCATATTTGAGGCAAAATATATAGGTCGCAAGTGTTTATGTCATTCTATAGGTATAAATAAAATTTGTGGGAACAAATCACTGTCAGAACATTTTGAAGGAAATCTATCATATATTTCTTTTGAATGTTAAGATTTCTAAACATCAATACTAAAACTGAATAACTAAATGCGAGTAAAATTATCCTATACAGATACAAATCATCAATTCATTCGGAAACTTTTTCAACTTTTGATGTAATGCACGAAATCCAACAAATAGAAAATGCGTTAAGTTTTAAACTTTTAATGTATTTTTTTCTTGAAATAATCGTTTTGAGTGTTTACACGTGTCCTTGATGTACTAAACATATTTATATAAAATCAATGTTTACATAGTTGTAAAAGATATAAAACTGAAAACTTGACAATTCTATGCTGTAAAGATAATAATGTATCACTACGGACTGAAAGGTCGTCGTGTAAAATACCATAAATTCGGAACTAATAAATAGATAATAATAATAGATAAATAAATAATAATAGATACATTCAGAGCTGTGATATTTTGTGCATGGGTACCTCGCTAAATCTCAATATCCACTAAATTGCACTGAGCATCTATAAAAAACTTTATCCTTCCATATTTTCATTTTTACAATTACCATGCGGCCTGCGGGTTATCGAATATAGATTATTCTGTAACTAAACAAAGATAGAAAGCATTGATCTCGATATCCGCAATACAAGTCGAGGTCCCAAATCAGTAAAAGTTTTCCTTGAAAGAGTTTTGTAGGAATTAGGATAAATATTTGAATTTTAAATCAACCAAGAAATTGATGCTTTTCGATTTTGATTTGTAAACAAATATTAATTTTAGAGAAATTCGTAGAACTTTGATCCAATTTTATTAAACTTTGGAAATCTCTCTTAAAACTTGTATAATTGCTATCAAAATGCTATAATCAATGACAGAAAAGCCATGAAGGCATTGCAATCAATAAATGAAAGAATTTAAAAATTTGTCAAATTAAGAACACATTTATTTTATGAATTTCAAATTAGAATAAAAATTAAAAATGTTTTTTTTTGCAGTGAAAATTCATAAATTCTCAGATAGAATTATTCCTAAGTTTCTAAATGCCCTATTTAAACTATATCTCAGATTACATTATTTTATTTGCGGAGCTGAAAAGATGGATGTTTTGTGAACAGTTTCTACTAAAAAATAAACATTAATTTTCAGGTTTTTGATAGCTCTCCACAACAAAGTGTGCAATTGAAAAACGATTCCTTGATTTGTAAGCTTATCAGGAAGTCCAATACATCTAGGTCAACTTTTTTTGTCCCGTGTATTTTAAATCGTTTAAATATAGCCATGTCATAACTTTAAAATTTCTGTCCTTTAGATTTTCAGAAAGAAGTTAGCAGTGTTCAATCTTCATAGATTTAAAATGTTTTTTACTCGGTTGAAACTTCTAGCCTATTGCGAACTATAGGCACAAAGTTACTGATTTAAGACGACATTTCTAATTTAAATTTAAACTTGAATAATTAAAAACTTACTTTTTGTTCACAAATCAGATCCGCTAACTACAGTTAGATGAATTTCTAAATTTAAAAATCTTGAAAAAAATGTTCTCTGAAAATATCTGATTCCAAGTATTGGGTATTTAGGATTGGTTTATCTAGGTTTATAAATTTTGAACCTTAAAACTTTTGAATCTATAATTTTGAATTTAAAATTTAGAATCTAGGATCTAGAGTCTAGGATCTAGAATCTAGTATCTAGAATCTAGGATCTAGAATCTAGGATCTAGAATCTAGGATCTAGAATCTAGGATCTAGAAAGACTTTAGGATCTAGAATCTGGAATCTAGAATCTGGGATCTAGAATCTATATAGGATCACTGAATAATCTATGTTTTAGTTTAAAAGTTTTACTTTGTCCTGAAAAGATAGATATTACGCAATCACAAGATAAAGATGAAAACACTGCACCAGACTGCAGTAAACACCCTTTGCTTTCTATCCTTCCAACCGAGGGGTATGGGGGGAGGGGAGAGGGGTATGGGAAAGGGGGGGATGGCAGGATGCCAACTTATAATCATACTAAACAGAGGGAGAATAATTGATAAACTTGACTTCTAACTTTATATCTATTTATATGATGATTAAATGGAAATTAAAGAAGACTTTTGAAGGTTTATCTAAGAGTCAAAAATAGCCTTTGTCTACAAGAATGAAGGTGTAAATGAATATTGTGAGGATCTTATCAAAAAATTAAGTTATTGAAACTAATTACTCTAATTGCCAAGTCTTGAAGTTTGAAATATCAAAATTAAGAACAATTAGCATTATCATTTTCAAAAGATGCTTAATCAAATTTCTTTATTAATTCATTATAAAAATAGACATGAAGGCCACTATGAGGAGGGATTTGGAACTCAACATTTTCTAATTAAATATTCTATTAAATACTGTAAACAATAGAAACTATTGAAACCCAGCTAAAAATCAATAGTCTGAAAAGCATGCATGGCGTAGGAAGTTGTTATTGTATTGTATAAAATGTTTGGTGTATACTGTATATAAATGTAATTACTTTCATTACAACCAAAAGCCGAAGAAAAAAAAGGAATTGAGTCTTTGCCTAAACTTGGATTAAAAACTTTGATTTTGTGGCAAAGATTTAATTCGTTTTACAAATATGTTATAATGGCATAAAAATACCTAACCATTGAAATAATCATTCCTTTATAAAAAGCTGGTTTTATGGTATGCAACAATTTTCATTTAATCCCACCCCTTTTAAAAATAAAAATAAATAATAAAAATTATTTGTTAGTTTTTACGAAGGAATGTCATTTACTCTCAGACAAATTAGAATCAATGGAAATTTAAACCCCGAAGGGATTCAATGATAAATTTGTCTGAGAGTAAATGATACAAACATTTCAAACCCCCGTTGAATAATTCAAATGACATATAAATTTGTAAATTCTCGAGTTCTTTCGACTTTTTTATAAACTTTTCCATAATTAAGTTTTTTTACACTTAACATGTAATTTGACTTTTTAAGGATGAATTTTTATCTATTTGGAAATATACACCTTATACAAAAATTATTTTGAATTAAGCCAATTTTATCTGTACATATATGATGTCTCTGGGCCTGGTTACTTACTTCAGAACAATCGTTGTGTTTTTGCCGGAAATTGTTTTTTTAAATGTCGCGGATTTTGTAAATATCTTTCGAACATTTTAATTTAAACAATTTTAATAATTAAACAACACAATTGCTATTAACTTTTATTTTTATTTCTACTTGATTAATTAGCTTTTTTATATCTTTTTATAAATTATGACACTATTGAATCCCTGATGTTTACATTGCAACCCTGTAACCAGAGGATTGCAATGTTAGATTGAAACTCTAGGGATGAAATCTAATTAACTATTCTGCCAAGTAGTTGCGGATTTATAAAATCAAGAACCTTACTGAACTTTTATTATAGAATTGAGTATGATTGATAATAGAAATTGAACTATTTATAACACTATTATGTTGGTTTGCAGTATTATAAAGTTTTTGGACCGACATTTTTTCTTTATCGAGAAAGTTCAAACCTTTTTAGATTTTATTTTGTCCCGAGCTTTAGCCAAAATAATAGTGTTATAGTTATACTTGTCTTATTGCAATGCCTATTTCTGGATCAAATAAGATTTTTAAGAAAGCAGAAATAAAAATAAAAAGTTAATTTCAATTTTTTTTATATTGAAATTTTTTTTTAAATCCGGAAACCAATCAAAACTTTATAGCACACGTGCTATACTGTTCAGCTGATTTAACTTTAATAGCACGAAAATTACTTTCTAGCACGTTCATAATAAAATTCCCCATGAAGTGAGTAAGAATGGTAAAGTACACAATAATTTAATAAAATTCTTAATGTAGTTTTATAAAGTAAGTGATCAGAAATTGTCTAAAATGATCATATTTAAGAAAATTCAGTTTTTTTGACAAATAGACGAAAATAAAAAAAAAAACATACGAGTATAATCTTTTTTTCTTATTCTTACTGTATTCTATATAATTACAATATATAGTGTCAAAATATTTTATTTTACAAAAACATTTAAAAATTAGAGATGAAGTTTGATATCTTTTTTAATTCTTAGTTTACGGATACTCCAACAACAATTTAATAGATAAAAGTAGGGATTTCAGTGGATTTTACTTGCGCGCATATGCGAGCCCTGTTAATTCGAGAACAGTTGTGCGCAATTCCGTGCAACGGAACTCCGATTGGAAACCCTGGATAAAAGGTATACTTTGTAGTTTTTTTTTTCATTTAATAATAAACATACCCCCATTAGAGCCCTTAACTTGCATACTGATAAAGTTTAGAAATTTAGAAATTTTTGATAGAAAAAGATCTGTATACTAGTATATAGTAGTGAAATACAAAAATCTCTGATATTGTTTAAATAAAAATCAAATATCCTAATGCCTATATCCTGCAACCTGACAGAGTAAACCTTTGACATTACAAACTTTGATTATTTGATAAGACGGAATTCATAGTTTGAAATATCTAATGTCTGCAACATTGGGTTGCTAAGATTCCTCAGATAGGCATTAGAAAATCAGAGTTTGTGGCAAAGACTCAATTCCTTCAGTCTTTGCCTAAATGTTAGTATAGTTTTGAAGTACATTTAACAAGTTAGCTAAATATTTTAAGTTATGGTAAATAAAAAATAAAAAATAAAAAATAAAAAAACACATTTGATAATTGCATTCCATATCGTGTTGTTGCTTTGAAGCTAACAATGTTTTTATTTAAGAAATTTTTTTTAAATCGGAGTTGCTTTTTAAAGGGACAATTGCGAGTTTTGGCTTTCAGAAATAATTAATTTTTTTTAAACCAAAAAAAGACGATATCTTCTATAGTATTGATCAGATATAGGTGAAAAGGGTACTTTTGTGAATCGGTCAAAAAGTCACGCTCATTTAAGCACATTCAGTATACTCACGGGGAGATTAACCTCCTTGTTCATAACTACACACTTTTATCTCTCTGCGAAGCAAGGTTGTATAATAAGGTTGTTTACTCTCGATGAACTCCAATGTACGGAAAATTACGTCTTCTAAGAAGACTAAGATAGATATAAAAACCTCATATGATGTCACTGATTATAGAGGCGAGAGTGTGACGTCATATGAGTTTTTATCTATCTATCTTAAGAGACGACATTTTCTGTACATTGGAGCGCATCTATCTACAGGGTGTCCCAAAAAACATGGGAATTCAGTGACGAATTTGATATCGTCTTTGTTATGAATTAGCATTGTAATACCTAATTTCAAAAGCCATAATATTATTATGTCTTCTAGAGCTTATTTTATGAAAAGGGTAAAAGACTGTAAAGATGTGTCTATAATGTCTCCGCAAGATGAACAGTGAAGACGGACAAGTTTACTCTGTTCGTATACTGCAATTTTCTTGTTTTACTAAGTACAACCGTATGCAGTCAAAACATTAACAAACAAATGTGATTGTGAACATAGCAGACGACACTCTTACATATTACAGCTTTCTCAGTAGGTATCACTATACTAAATCAAAGAATTATTTGAAAAGACGATATCGAATTCGTCACTGAATTCCCATGTTTATCTATCTTAGGAAACGACATTTTCCGTACACCAAGCATCGAGATTATTATTATACATTTTACAGCTTGCTGCGAAGAGAATATCACTCATTCAAAAATTCCCAACTTAGACTACAGGTTGGTTCCAAATAAACATATTGTAGTGACGACTTATATATCGTCTTTAATCAGCGCGGCCATTTTTCGTACGCACAATTTAAAGCAGTATCCAAGTTAAAACATTTAACACCGAAAACGTAAACTACTTTTCTTATTACTCTATTATTAGTTTTCCTTCGAATTTTAAGATTTTGGAATTCTCATAAGAGGCACAATTGTTTTTGATGCTCTCTTTGTCGTTTATCAAATGTATTCATCAAAAAAGTCTTCTATCCATTCTCATGCTTATGTTGGGACACTCTGTATGTTAATTTTTTAAGTTGGGTAATGGGTAATAATAATAAGAGTGTTGATTAAAGAACGGTGGTATAATGGTTGTTGCTGTAATCGAATTATTGATTTCAAATTAGAAAGCCTTTCATTATTTCCCATTCATTTAGTATATATGGTTACCATAGCCTTGTACGTGACAGTGACATATGTTTAATTATTTCTATTTTGGTTTCATGCTTTTTATTAACCATGTTGATTTTGTTCTTTCTAGAAGCCCGACATATTGATTTTATAGTTTCTAATAGCCGGTCATCTTGATTTTATAGTTTCTTCTAGCCGGCAGTATTGATTTCATAGCTTCTATTTGTCGGCCATCTTGATTGTATAGTTGTTATGGTCCGCCATCTGGATTGTTATAGTTTCTACTAGACGGCCATCTTGTATTATTATTTCTACTAGGCAGTCATTTTAATTTTATAGTTTCTACTATCCGGCAATGTTGATTTCATAGTTTCGTCCATCTTGATTGTAAAGTTTCTGTTGGCCGGCTATCTTGATTTTACAGTTTCTAATAGCCGGCCATCTTGATTTTAAAGTTTCTTACTAGACAACCATTTTGATTGTATAGCTTTCTACTAGCCAGCCATATCATAATTTCATAGTTTGCCTAACATCTTAATTGTTATATTTACTACAAGATGCTAGCCAGGCTTCTTAATTAAATGTATTTTGCTAGCCGGCCGTCTTGATTTTTTTTGCTGTTGGCCAGCCATGTTGATTACAAAAATGTCTATGAAATAACGCAACATGCGCTGTTTTCCTTTTGTAGCGTAGGTTCAACTTGTTTGAACTGACTTAAATCAAAATCTCGTTTTGTTTCGTTGAACTCATTCTGAATAACCTTCTCCGGATCCAGGTTAGTTTCATCAAAAAGAAAATCAAATGCATCTGAAGCAACACTCTTCTGTGACGCCATAGAGCTGGCAAGGAAATCACTATCATCGTAACTACTAGAGAAGTCCGGAGAAACTTGGGTTCTTGCTCGCCGCCAATTCTTGGCAGATAAATGTCTGAAATCGAAAAAAAAAGATTATAAAACTTTAAGATAACATTTATATAAAAACTAACTGAAGTTCCTGGCGTTCCTCATAAAACTTTTAAAAAATAATATTTTGAAAATAAAATTTGATTTAAAAAAAATCGATTTTTGAAACAAAATGATTTCGATTATTTTTAGTCTATTTTAACGCCGGGGTACTCCAGGGTTCCCTTAAAAAATGTTAACATATACATATTTAGAGCTTTATTATATAAATAAAATGTAGGATTTTGACAAAGTTTTTTTTTATTTTCCAGATGCTCCAAAAGAATCTGAGATGTGTATTTTATGTGTGCTATGTGTATTATTAGTTTTATTTTATTACACTGTGGAGCATTGACATACGATAAAAGGTCAAAAGAAAAAATCTTAATGATAAGTCAAATCGTTTTGATTATCACTAATTAGTTTTTGGTGAGAGAATTTTTTTGGCAGTAAAAAAAAGAACTGCACTTCTAAATTATTTTAGTCAATAAACATCATAGTGAAAATTTGCCATATTAAAACTAAAAATACCTCTAATTTTTTAAAGAAACCAAAAAATCACTTACTTTAAGCAAATTTAAATCTTAAATAATTTTCAAAGAAACTTTTTTACCTCAAATCATTTGAATTGTCCTTTTTCATCATTTGTGCAGGTAGTTTACTCATCGGTATAGTTGCTGTGGGTTTTCTTGTTCGCATTTTGTCATTGTCATCAAACATAACTTGATATGCGGCACCATTCTTCTTTTGCGCAACTTTTTCAGTTTCCCGGGGTTTCGGTTGAATAGGGGGCAAAACCGGCGGGAGAACCCCGTTCGAATCAGCTGTTGCATATTTTTTCATTAAATCCGACTTCTTCTCAAATGGTTTGGCGGGTTCAAGCTTTAATCTGATTAAACAAGTAAGGGTAAGTTTTATTTAATTTTTCTTAATTAATTTAATTTTTCTTAATTCATTTAATTTTTCTTAATTCATTTAATATTGGTTAAAAATGAATATTTTTTTGTCCATAATTTTATTTTATTTTATCCCTTTTTACCTTCCAGCATTAACAAGTTCTTCTGCTTCAGTGCCTTGAATTCGTACTCTAAAACAATATTATTGATTTCAAAAAGTAATATTTATGTTAAAAATATCTTTGCCACAGAATTGTGTACTTTAGTACTTCAAACTTAGATGATTTGATCTAACAGAATTCTTAGTTTAAAATATCTAAGGTCAACGACTTTGGCCGGATTGCAAAGATATAGGGATTTGGGATATCAGAGTTTGTGTCAAAGACTCATTTTGAATTCCTTTATAAATTCTTTATTTTTAATGATAAATCAGAAAGTCATAAGTGTCAGTGAGTGATCACAAATCATAAAACAATTTATTTAATTTTGATTTAAGATCACACTTTCGCTTTGAAATTATTTGATACTAAAAACAAGTTTGAAATTTCTTTTGATTTTTACAAAGAGTTCTGGGGAGTTTTCTGCATTTATATAAAAAGAGGAATAAAAAACATTAGTACAGGGTGTCTCTATAAGCATGGGAATTAAATGACGACTTCTATATCGTCTTTGCTCCAACTAAAAGAGATTATTTCGTAAATGTAATTTTGAAGTACATACACAGTTAAAACATTTAAAACCAAAAACTAGTAGTCTTGGGGTAGACCACATTTTGGAAAGCTCATAAGACGCTTAATCTTTTTTTGATGCACTTTATGTCATTTATCAATTATCGGAAATCAAAGACGACATACAAGTTGTCTCTCAATTCCCATGTTTATTGGGACACTCTGTACTGCAGTAAAGGTCTTCTGATTGAAGCAGAAACATCCATATACAAATCATTCTTGTTTAATCTAATCAATAGCGCCCTAACTTGGTTTTCACAAAAGAAACTTGTAATTAAGAAATTAACTGCTTAATTACCTCCCAATTATTCCTTAATCTGCCGGACCACAGAAGATATGAATTAACGCCTTTTAAAGGGATTAACAAGACAAAAGTATTGACCTTTGCAGATTTAAAAATTGCTTCTAACCTTGCAACATCATACACTGGTCGAGGTTTTGCAGTTTTCTTGCAAATATCCACATGAAGGGCTATACGGTCAGATGCAAAAGTTCTGTCGCATATCTGAAAATAAAAGTAATTAAATATGCAAAGTTAAATTTTGTTAAGGAATGTATGACAGACAAAAGTAATGGCAAACAATTTTCGTTTTTTAACTTGTTTGGGATTATTAAAAGGTTCCAAGAAAATCTGATAAGTTTTAAAATTTCGAAATCGTTTTTTCTAAACATTTGCTTTCCTTATCACTTTGTCAAATGTTAAGCATGAGAGAAGATACTAACAGAAACATAAGTTTTTTTATGTTATTTTTTTTTTGAGGATAAACTATTTGCATCATAGTTAAATAAAATTAAATTTTCACAGAATATAGTTCTGAAACATTGAAACCTTGTTTGTATGATGCTTTTTAATAGTTTGAAACCCTTAAATCTAATTAAGTGTATAATTATAGCACATCACTAACTGATGAATATACAGGGTGTCCCACGAAACATGACAGTTGGTGAATAGTTTAGAATGTCTTCTTCTATAATTTGTTAAGTTGTTTGATATTAATTAGACAATATTACAAATATTATATGGGAGTCATGTTATAGTAAAGTAGGTTTCAAAGTAAAATATGTTTCAGAAAAATATTTTTTAACGAGATAAACTGCATAAAGCCTTTGATATCTAATAAAACGACTTTCATAACTATTTACCAACTGTCATGTTTTGTGTATGTAAAACAGAGTAAAATTGAACTGTGTAGCAGTTGGTACTAATTTCATTTCGATCTGATTTTTTTGCAAAGATTATTTGATGAAAACTTTCTTCATAGACCACGGGTTCTTTGATGTGGCACCAACTGTAACAGGTCTAGTTTCCTTTGATACATCAAAGTACTATACAGAAACATAGAATAGGAATAAAAGTTGTAATATTTATTCCGGAGTTATTTGGAGATTTTACTCACTTCCGTTCTTGTTAATAATATTTTTGAAAGAATGTATAATTTATTTATCAAAGACTATACCTTACAACCTACAAGAGGCCCTGAGGGTTTGTCTTCACTCTTATCAGCTGTCATGTTTGGGTCTCCAATAACAATGTCTCTGGACAATAATAAACAGAACCATTAAAATAATAATAAAGTGTCAAAGAAATATAACAAATGGTTTAGTTTGTTATGGAAACATTAACACTAGAATTACAAGTGAGACTAAAGTGTAAAAAGAAAAGAAAGCCCTCAGACTAGACATAAGAAGGTAAAATTTATGCAACATTACCAATACGACTTTGTGACCTCGTAGCTCCTTTGGATTTGATTTAATGTATGAAAGTATGAAAAAAAGAAATTTTATCCGGATTCATACAAGAAATAAAAAATAGTTTTGTTTTTCTCAATAGCTCTTCAATAAGGGGAGTTATAATTGAAAATATATTATTTTTTAATCAAACGTGCAGTTTGCTGAAGTGTAACGTGTCCTGGCTGTAGAATGTTTAAATTCTATTTACAAGATTAGGGTTTCCACGAAATGGCTAAATCTTTTGCGCAAAATTTGCGCTATTTTCGCGCAATTTTTTTTTGCGAACTTTTGCGCTATTTTTGCGCATGAAACGCAATGAATTTTGCGCGGTTTTGCGTTATTTTTTATTCGCAATTTGCGCAAAGCCGGAAATATTTTTGCGAAAGTTGCGCATGAAACGAAATTTTAGTTTTGCGCAATTTTTTTGCGAAATTTGCGCAAAACCGCAAGTTTTACGGAAAATGTAACTTTTTAGGCAAATTGTCAAAAATTAATATTCTAAGCTTAGAATTAAACAACTGAAGATTTATTCCATACATAAAAAATATTAACATACGAGTATAACGATTATACTACACGCAATTGGTTACTTCCAGCTACAAAAAGTTTAAATTAAGGGACCAAAATTAATAAAATAGAAATTAGAGAGTGTGAAACTTGGCAATGTTTTAATCCTATTAAATAATTTCAAGTGACCCTTAAAAGCTTTGCCTAGCTAATCAAGTATGAATTATATTCTTAAATTTTTTAAATCAAATTTCTAAAATCTTTTTAATCTCATATAAAATAATACAAGAAAGTAACCATGATGCCTGAAGAATACACTTTTAGGAAATATGCATGTCCAAAACTAAAATTATCGAGAAAATTGTGAGATTTGAACTCTTCTTTACTGTCATTGGTCAATTATGTAAAACAAGATTTTTCCGGAATTGAATTCTAAGAAACACACACCGTCACCAACCGTTTGATTTTTACGAAATTGCGGAATTGCGCAAAACTCTAGTTGCGGAATTGTGCAAAACTTGAGTTTCGAAAAAGCGGAATAGGGCAATTTTGCGCTAAATGACTTTTGCGAATGATTGCGCAAATTGTGGTTTTGTACGGAATTTCTACAATCTGTTTCTCTATATTCAAGAAGTCCCTAAACTTGGAACTTCTTTCGTTCTTTGTCCAATAATTATATTTATATATATTATAAATAAGCCATTATACGACTTCATTCAAAGTAGTCGACTTAGTTTAATCTTTAAATCGTCATATTTCAATAGTTTGAGGTCGTCTTTACAGTCTCATCACAGTGATCCATCTAATTAATGGTGGATAATTACCGATTAGAGCTCGTTTTCAAAGGATTGAGTTGATCTCTGCTTTCATTAATATTCTTGAAATATTCTTCATCTCTGTATAGAATTTGATCCTTAAATAATGAAAATTTTTCTTGGTTTCAATTTTTACAAAAATAGAAATTTTAAACGTTTGTTTTCTATATTAAATTAAACAAATTATGGCCAATTTATTACTTGGCTGTACTGTAGAAATCCACGAACCTCTCTTTGTAAAATTTATTTAAAGACGACTTTCGATTTCAATTTTGATTTATTTCTATGATGTTAAATCAGCATTGATACACATAAACAAGTCAAGATTATCTGTCAATAAGAAAAGCTACTTTTTGATTATTTGTATTGATATAATCGCCACCAATGTGAAAAAATACATTAACAATCACAATTAAGTAAGTAGATATTTAATTTTTTTTAATTTACCGCACCAAATTGATCTAATAATTTGGAGGGAAATAGATAAATATAAATCAATCAATTAATGACACAAAACTTACCTCTTCCAATACTTTTAATCTTGTTCCTAAATGTTGGCTTAATCCTGATCTAGTTGGCATTTAATCTTGTTACTATATGTTGGCTTAATCCTGATCTAGTTGGCATTTAATCTTGTTCCTAGATGTTGGCTTAGTCCTGATCTTGTTGGCATTTAATCTTGTTACTAGATGTTGGCTTAATCCTGATCTAGTTGGCATTTAATCTTGTTCCTAGATGTTGGCTTAATCTTACATTGTTTGTTCTGCAAAATTTCAAGGCAATGTAAATCATTGGGATCCTGTCAGGCTATAGTTGTTGTCTGTTAAACACTGGGTAGTCCAGACTGGACAATACATCAGGTTGTACCAGCACGGATCAAGCCATGATTGGAGCAACGTGAATTTTTCAAGTTTTCCTTCGCAACGATTGCAATGTCCGATTAACAACGGTTCCCTTAAAGGGAGTGACCGCCTATGTAAGGTAGTTGAACTGAGTACGCAGTGTTGTGGAAACCTTCTTTAGCATTCATTTGAGACATATTTCACTTTTTAAAAGTCTATAAATCCTGAGTTTGAGCGCAAATTCGACGTTCAAAACTCCTGATTTGGGGGTGGATACGCTTTCAGAATTAGTTTTTTTTAATTAATAATTAACGACGACACAAAATGTAAAAATATTCTAAAATAAACTACAGACGTCATGTTTAGGAACATTTTGAGAAAATAAAAATTAATCTTATCATCGAAAATAAGTAATCTTGTTCAATTATTAGTTTCTATTATCTCATTATTCTAGTTTCTCGTTATTCACAAAGATGTTCGCAGATTTTCTATAACTATTATTGAAAAGACGACATTTAAAGAATTTGAAGAAATCTGCGAATAAATTCAAAGAAAATAAGAATTCAATATAATAATGAAAACGAAATAATCGATTTTAGCATTGATTTAATGTCGTTGGTTACACTGTTATTGTGAACGAAAAACACCTAAATCTTGAAAAGACGACATCTAGTTTTCTAACTGTTATTGATAATTAATCCATGCTTTAACCGTTCAGGGCACGGTTTCAGAGATAAAATACTATAAATTGACCTTCTTAATTTAATGAGGACAACTTTCATCCAGCTTCTTATTACCTACTGGGTATTCTACGAAACATAATCAGTTGGTGAACAGTTTGAAATATCTTCTTCCATAGATATAAAAGATATAAAAGATTTTTTTCAGTTTATTTCGTTAAAAAACAGTCTTTTACTTAAATATATTTTACTTTGAAATCAATTTTAATAATAATTTATTTTTTATTATTCTCTTTTGTATCACACAAACTTAACAAATTATGAAAAAAGACTTTTAAAACTATTATGAAAGAAGAATTTAAAACTATTCACCAATTGTCATGTTTCGTGGGTCACCCTCTACTGCAAGGCAAGCAAGAATTCGAGAATTAGTCAAAAAACATCATCAATGCATCGATCGAAAAGAATAACAGGATTAAACTCGTGGGATGACTCTTCAGAGACATATAAAAAGAATTTTATCTTTTTTTCATTCAGACATCAAAATTCAACCTTTAACTAGCTAATTAAAAAATGTATGTAGCATTCTTTTTTTGTTTAGCCTGTAATATCACCATAGCTAATTTGTATGGATAGCGTTTTGATGAAAACATTGTAAAATCAAATAAAGTAAAAGCAGAAATGGCAAAAAATGTGTTGGATAAGTATATGTAAGAAATATTCTACAAGTATATTTGCTTGTCTGTCTATCGGCCTAGCTGTCTGTTTGTTTGTTTATCCAATAAACGTCAAAATGACTGAACTGATCGGGCCCAAATTTTGCTTGGGACCTCAAGTATGACCCAAGGGAAGGTTTATGGATGCTCAAAATTTTAAAAATTTATTTAATTTTTTGTTATTTTTAAGTTTTGAAAATCCACGAACGAATATTATTAAATCCGCGAATTTTTTGGGTTTGTTTTTTATATTGTACAAAGAGAACTTTAGATCGTTTTTAAACAAATCCCAACCCTACTCTCTAGCACTAGAATTATATCATTTTCTTCTCAATATATTTCGCCAAAAACTTTGGCATCATCAGGAGTTTGTCCTTACTCTTTTGAAGAGTATTGAATACAAAGAGAAGATGCTCACAGATAGATAGTTAAAATAGAAGATGGGCGCAAAGCGCTCTTAAAGCCTAGTACTAATTATAATGGTTTAGCCGGAGAATAAACAAGGTTGGAGTATAAAGTTGGGGGATCATTAGAAACTTTCTTGTTCGGGAGTAAGGACTAGGACGGAGTAGGGTTTAGGCTCAACACGGAAATATTCAACGGAGGGAATATTATGAGAAATGAACAGGCGGAGGTATTAATATAAACCATTTTATTTCATGTTTCTATAACGCTTCGCGTCATTCTTTATCGCTGATTTATATCATGAAATTGTTTCTTCGTAAACTAAAAAAATAATAAACATGCGAGACGCATTTTTTTCTATTGGTAACAGTTCAAACAATGTGCTTAGAGCGCTGTACTCCCCTCTTTTTTTTTAAAGTCTTTTTCTGATTTTAATGGTTAAATATATAAATGTTAAATTCCGTGCAGCTATCCATTTTCTTAAATTATGTGAGACCCCTAAAAACATGTGGATCCACACGTTTGACGTTTATTGGATATAAACAAATCTGACTTGCAAACATTCAACTTTGAACTCGCAAGAAATTGTAACATTTACAACACAAAAACAGTTTAGAGAATATTTATTTGAATCTAAGTGTCGATAGGTGAAGTGTGGACGGGAAAAAGTGAAGCGATTTTTTGCAAAGAATTATTTTGATGAATTATTTGATACAGGGAATTGAAAATCTTTCTTTGATTTGTATTTGTGTTTTAATTGTAAGCTTTAATTGTAAGCTTTGTAATTGTAAGCTTTAAAAATTGGAGTTACTTTTTTTAGACTTAAAATTGACAGATTGAGTTATTAAATATGTAAAAACTCCTGAGACCAAATTTAAAGAATTTGAGACGCGGCTTAAATTTGATACGCAGCTCAAATAGGGTTGGTTCTACTTAAAATTGTATTCAATGTTTCAAGGTTTAAGCCGGCGCTTAATTGAAACCGTTTTTAGCGGATTTGAGACGCGGCTTAAACTCATTTAATTCTGACTCTGTTATTATTTAACTACTTAGAATTTGGACAAAGAAACTAAGTCTCTACCGCAGGCTCAAATTGTAAACCTTGGATATTTCAAAAAATCGATCCTGTTAGATTAATTTTAATCCAGGTTTAAATATTTAAAATCTTTACCAAGATATAAAGATTAGAACATTTAAGTTTGTGTCAAAGACTCAATTCCTTTCTCAATTACTCCGTCAATTTTGAATGTTTGAAATTGGCCGATCGCAGTTTGGAAATCCCAAGACTGAGTTCTTAATGTTTTCTCTTTATTATTATTAAAATTGTGTTATTTTTACTGAAACACCCTGGATTAAAATAAAAAATACTTAAAATTCTGTAATTCACAAGGAATTCAATGTTAAAGTTCAAAGTTGCGTTTCTTGACGTTAAATTAAATATTACTTAGCGTGTTAAGAATTTTAAACTGTGCAAATTAATTTGAAGTGAAACAGGGGGGGGGGGGTTGAATTGAACAAACCTTTCTTAAATAAAGTTTAAACGTTTATCAACATCTATATAAAAACCTTCTAAAAATCTAGTTGATTTAGTTAAGAACACATCCAAGGCCTGTTAAAAATATAATACGTAATTTTTTTTGGAAATTCAACATAACTATTTCAATATTAATTGAGAAAACATTATATAAATAGGCTCTTAAAGGGCCACAAAATCAAATTTTCTTATCTCTATATCTTTGCAACCTGATGGTGATAACCTTTTATATTTCAAACTTAGATTATTTTATAAAATAGAAATTAAAGTTCGAATAAAAAGGTCTACGACATTGAGTTGCAAAGATTATAGGGATTAGAAAATCATAGTTTAAAAATTAATTTAGTTGACTTTTAAACTTAAGTTTGGACTTTAAATAGTTCAATGCACATGAGGTACAGTTAAAGTTGAGTAGTGTAAACATACATATTTACTTAATGAGCGATTTATAACTTACTTGTAAAGCTATTTGCTTTGGAACTACATACAATGCACTTTAGCATTGATTTAATGTCGTCTTCCCATTGACGGAGATTTTAAACATTTGAACAGTTTTGTTGATTTTTAATAAACTGGAATCTGGACCTTTTTCCTGATATCTCCTTCAATTTTGAAGGCGAATAAATGGTAGACCACATTTCGGAAATCCCGAGACTAGTAGTTTTCAGTGTTACATGTTTTAACTGTGATTATTCAAAATTATATTTACGAAATAATCCCGCTTGGAACAAAAACTATTTAAATGCCGTCAATTAATTACCATGTTTATTGGGACACCCTGTACTTTCCCAGGAAGATGTTGGGGCGAGCAAACGAATTATATTCACCTATCCTATGGTTTCACACACAGATATGACAGAAATAATGAAGGTAAACTTTCAACAAAACTATTCATTTTTTGAAGGACTTAAAAAGGAAAAATTAAAGGGGGTATAGGATATATATATGAATTTTCGTATAAATTTGTCACAGTTTTATATAAATTTCTCGAGACAGGCCATTAGATATAACTTTCATTTATTTCAGTCTATAATTCCTTTCATTTTTCCTTTACAGTCCCTTTAAGATGTATTTTAAGTTACCTTAGTTTAAATAGAGTTATATCCAATTCACAAGGGTACCCTTTAAACATTTGTCTGACCACAAATGAAAAAGAAATTCGTTTTTTGCTGCCAGCAATCTGAAAGTTGTCGGTCCTTGCTACTTATTAAAAGTGACCTCCGGATTTTTGCAGCTGCAGAGCAAAGATAATTTAATTTTAAGATAGAAAAACGAA